GGGGCCCGCCAGGAGAGACGTACTGATGACATCGCAGTGGGATCCCCCTCTAGCTGGGAGCCCCTCCCTGGGGCACAGATTCCCTCACAGCCTCGCCCAGAGGCGACAGCACGGGGCCCAGATGTCCGCATGGCCGCGTGCGTGCCAGGCCCACGTGAGTCCGCATGAGCTGTGCTGCTGCCAACACTCAGCACCCTCAGGGGACCCTCCTAAAAGGCCACACAGCTCTTCCCAAGGAGCCCCGCGCGAGCAGGCTTCTCTGGGCCCTGCCCACAGGTGCCGTGAAGCCAGGCCTGGGGGCGGGCAGCCACAGGGCCAGGGCTGGATCTTCTCTCCTGGCTGAAGACCTTCTCCTGTCACTCCAGGCCAGTGCCACAGCCCCCAGCCTCCTTTCCCACCTGGTGGGAGTGGGGGCTGTCTGCTCCTCAGGACCCATAATGGGACCAGGAAAACGCGTCCCGCCCTGCCCAGGGACTCCTTCTAGGAGTCAGGCTGCTTTTGGGACTTGGTGTGACGTCTCTGCCAAGAGATGCTGGTCTGCTCTGACACACACCCCTCAGTGCCCACACATGCCTACATGCAGCTGGGGACATGTGTGCACAGAGGCCTGAACATGTGTGCAGATGCGTGTGAGTGTGCAGAATGTGCAGACACGTTTGTACACCGTGCATACACACCGTGCACACAGGCGTGTGCATGCAAAGATGCACGCCAGTGTGAGCTTGGGCATCCTTACTCAACATATCAGAAGGTCCCATAGATGTCACTGCAGTGGGGACAGCTGAGCACTGGGCTCAGGGCCTAATGGAAGGGAAGCCACAGACCCCGCCTCCGAGATAGAAAGGCGAGCTGCAGCAGGCTGTGGTGGTGCACCCCGCCGCCCAGCACTGAGGGAGGCTGAGCGAGGAGGACCACAAGTTTGAGGCCAGTCTGGGTAGGTTAGCAAGACCTTGTCTCAAAATAAAGATTTATGTGTGGGGCCAGGGAGATAGCTCAGGGGCAAGTACAAGGTTCTGAGTTCAATCTCTGATATATATATATATATATATATATATATATATATATATGAAATAAAAATAAATGTATAAATAAAATAAAGATTTAAAAAGGGCTAGGGATGGAGCTCAGTGGTAGCTTGCCCTGGATTCAGTTCCAGAGAAAGAGGGAGGAAGGAGCAAGGGAGGGAGGACAACTGCTTCCTCTGCACGATGTCTCGGAAGCCAGCCCTGCACAGGCAGGGCGGGGATGGCGTCCCCAGATGACACACTCCCTCTCCCCCGGGAAGGAAGGCAGCTTCACATCCACACCGTGGGTGGCTGCTTGCCACGGTCTCTGGGGACACCGCCCCAGGTCCCAGAGCGAAGCCGAGCTGAGCGAGCTGGCAACGCAGCTGCCCCGCAGCAGCCGGCTTCTCCGCACGACCAGCCTGAGGCAGAGGGGACACCAAGGCCTCACACGCTCAGGGCCATTTTGGGGCCAGGGCCACCCCAAGGATATGGGGGACAAAAGTCATGGGGGACTGCAGTTCCACCCAAGCTTGGGTGGCCTCTCTGAACAGACTGTCCCTTGCCCCAAGGCAGCTGGCAGCAGCTCCAGGGTTGTCCCACATGCACACCTCCGGGCCCTGAGCCTGCAGACTGCTACCCGTGGGCTACATCCCATCCGCTGACATGACAGGGGCTCGTGGGTGACCACAAAGGACAGGTCCTCACCTTGAGCCCCTTCAGCTGGGGGGCAACACCAATTCCAGCAAGCAGGGTCCAGTGCTGGTGCAGGGGCCCCCTAGGTTACCTGAGTGGGTCTGTGTGGAGAAGGGCCTTTCTGTCCCCACTACACTTCCAGCTGACAGTGCCAGGGCCACTGACGCAGTCCAGGGTGGTACAGCCTGTGGCGCACTGTGCCTGCTCTAGGAGCTGAGGTGTGTGGGGCACACCAGGGCCTGCAGGTGGTGGCACCCAGCCGTGGAGCCAGAGGGCACATGGCTGGACCACCTGCAGCAGGACAAGTACCCAGGCCAGCAGTGCTGGCCATGGAAGGGAGAACAGCAGCTGGTCGGCCCTGAAGTCCACCCAGCACCCCACCTTACCCCTCTAGCCCCAATTTGGGACTCTGAGAACCTAGGACCCCTCCAGTCAATCCCTGTGGAGCCTGGACCCTGCCTGGTTCAGGTCAGCTGGAATTGCCACTCCAGGTGACCCTGCCCCACCCCATCAGGCCTCTCACACAGAAGGGCACTTCTTATAGCCCAGCTCTGGGCCACACCTGCTGTCCCCCAGGCTCTGTCACTCACAGCGAGGCAGCAGAGAGCCCTGGCTCCAAAGGTAGAGGCACCCTGGGGCCACTCACACATCACAGCTAGGGAGACCAACGCCTGCACCTGCACACCCCTCCCCTGCAGTCAGGGGCTGGACCTGACACCATCTGCGACTCCTTACTTCGTCCCATCCCTGACTTGTCACCCTTCTCTGGGCCTGGTCAGCCCGGAGGGCTCTGGATGAGAGCTTGCCCACCTGCTGTGGCTGGCAGTGCCTCCTGTGCTGAAGCCCCCCCTGCTCCCTCTGGCACCATCAGGCTGGCTCCTGTCCTCCATGCCACCACCTGCCTCCAGCCCCAAGGTCAGCCCCAGCGCCAAGCCACGTGGGAGACCAAAGAGGCCCCCGTGTCGGTGACCAGGGCTCAGGGATCTGACTTCACTCCTCCAAACAGGTTGTGTCCGGCAGTAGCCTCAGCCCTCCACCCAGTACCCAGGGTCTCCCTTGGGTTTTGCAGGCCCACCAGGGTCCCTGTGCCATGGGAGGAAGCCCAGGGACTGAGATGCCTCTCAGACACCTTGAGGGTGACTTTCTCTGCTTTAGCAGGGTACTGTGCTCTGAAGGACATGGCCAGGGGATGTCCAGGCCATGACCAGAGTGTTCTGCTGTTACTACAAGGGCTCCTTGCCAGGCCACCAGCCCTCCGGGCCCTGGGCTGCTCAACTCCCCCACTGACCACCTGGCAGTGAAGGGTTGTCAGGGCCCCTCTCGAAGCCTTGCTGGGCCCCCATTTCAGCACACAGGTTGGGGTGCCTGTGCCTTCTGGCCCCATCTTCAAGGCCCCTAGAGTCTGATAGAGACCCTCAGGACCTGCGTCTGGGTCACAGCAGCTGTCCCTACCCCTGCCTACAAATCCAGAGTTCAAGCCCCACCATCCATGGCTGTGGGGAGACAGGGCTGCATATTGTCCCCATCCTGTTGGCAGGCAGCACAGGAGGGAGGTACCAGGGCCGCTTGGAACTGTCTCTGAGACAACCACACAGCTGGCACTGCTGAGACCCTTTGCACAGCCAGGCCCCATGCTGCTGTCCCAAGCCGGCCAGGCCCACTGACCAGCAACCTCCAGCCAAGAGCGGGCGCCCACTCTTCTGGGGACCCTTATCATTCTGGTGGACAGTGCCCAAGAGCCCAGGAAGGAGCTTCTGGTCTCACCAGTGCCCAGGACACAGGAGCATCTGCATGAAAAAGCACCCTGTGCTACCACCACCTCCTCTGGCCTCAGCCAGCTCCCGGTGCAGGACCTCAGTGCCTCCCCAAGGAGGTCCGAAACAGGGGCTCAGGGAAGGACTCAGTGGAGGACCCTCATGGCTCTTTCCTGGGAAAGTGCTGGCTCTGAGTCACCCAGGAAGCGTAGCCTCACTGTCCAGGCGACCAGAAGAGGACTGGCATGAACAAAGATGCCTGCAGGCACCCACACAGCCCAGCAGGTACCGCTGCCCGGGTAGTCACTGTCAAACCTCAGCTCACTACACAAAGGAAGCAAATGTCCCTGCCACTACCTTCCCGATGGGCACAGCGAGGCCCAGAGGGGTGAGGTCACATGTCCAGGGCCACACAGCTACTGAGCCCTGGCCTTGCAGCTGTTTGGCTCCCAGGCCCCCAGGGCCTCATGCTGCTAGGGATTCTCACTGGGACCAGCCCCTCCAGGCTGGTTCCAGGGCGCCAGTGTCCCCCTCCGATGCCTATCTCTGCTCCTATGAAGCTGCCTCTTGTCCACCTCTCGCTCAGCCCTGGTCGGCCAGCTCCAGGCCCCCCACAGGACACTTCCAGCAATGCCTGCATGTTTGGGGTGACCACTCTTGCAGGCAGCACTCCAGCGCCCCACCCTGCCTTCCTCCCTCATGGTGGTGCCCTCAGGCCCCTCCCTCCCTCCTCCAGCTCTAACATAGGCACCCGTGCATACAGGTGTGCACGCACACTCCACACGGGTGCTGGGAGCTGAGGCTCATGTAAGAGCTCTCTCACTGCAGAGAAATCCCAGGATTTGTGGGGTGCAGAAGGGCTACCCACTGTGGCTAGGGCAGAGCCTGCGAATCCTGGCTGGCAGTCCTGGGAAGCCACATGGGAGACTCTGGAGGACAAGCTGTGGGCTGCTCAGGGAGTCCACAGTTGTCACGATCCACGCCCCAGATGGGATGAGACACCGCCGCCGGGGTGGCTGAGACAGGCACACTGGGTGACACCCATGGGGGCTCAGACAGAAGCCAAAACCCTAGGATCCCCCGTCACCTGCTTACTTACTGTGTCTTCCGAGCTGCTACTGCAGGAGCCACCCCCAGGTCACAGGCAGCACCTCGGCCCCTCCGCCAGGGCTGGGAGAACACGCGGTGCTCCCTCCTGCTGGCCAGGGCCAGGATGAGCCATGAGCCTGCACGCCGTTCCCTGGGGCCGGCTGCTTCGTGCTTCCCCATGGGCCCAGCTGCCTAATATGGGCAGAGCGGGCCTGCCAGCATGCTCCTGGCAGTACGCCAGGGCTGTGCTCCGTGCCCTGGCCTTCGGGGCCTAGAGGGTCCCACGACACGGGGGCCAGGGTTGTTGGGAACTGTTGTTGGGAAAGGCACAGAGGCTGGGATAGGCACAGCCTGGCCAAGGATCCTCCCACTGCCACAGCAGCTGTCACCTCCAGCCCCAGGGAGCGGCAGAGCAAAGGATGACAGGGGAGGGCCATGTCCAAGGACCCTGAGGGGGTAGCTAGGGCCAGCGAAGGGGGTTCAGGCTGGGGAGCCATGAAGTGGAGGCTGTATGAGGAACCCATGGCCCAGAGGGTTGGGGCTCTGTTCTAGATCCCCTCTTCTCCATTCCACGGTCTGGAGGCCTGGAACACCCCAGGGTAGGGCTGGGGTCCAACCAGGTGATGCAGGGTGGTATCTCACCACCCTGTGGCTCCTATCACTAATGCCAATGCCAGTCAGAGACACTGCCCAGCCCTGGAGGAGACCAGATTCCAGGAGCATGCTGGTCCCTCACCCCGCAGGGAACATGGGGCAGGAGCCCCCTGGCAGATTCCCCTCTTCTGGCCTTTGCTCCTGCCCCAGCCTGCTCTCCCCCGGTGTCCACTGGGTTACCTGACACCCTCTGCCCTGGCAGCAGCTCCACCTGGAGTGACAGACAGTGGGGATGCAGGACAGAGGCCAGCCCAGGCCAGCAGGGATGGAGTCCTGGGGTGGGGTACAATGGCTGAAATCCAGACCCTAAGGGGCTAGGTCTCAGGCTGGGATACAGCAGGAGTTGAGGAGCACAGGGCATGAACCCAAGCTGAGTGGCCCAGGAGGGTGACACCCAGGTCCCAGGGACAACAGATGGTGCCCAGACCAGGAGGGCAACAGAAGCGGAGGACTCTGTCAGTAACAACTCCTAGCCCAGAAGACATCACTGTTGGCCCTGAGTGCTATGGCAGGTGCAGGCTGCACGGGGCTCCCCAGGACCCGTGGCTGTGCACTCTGACAGCGCCGAGGCCCTGGCCCCTGAGGGTATCTTCTTGCCAGGCTGCCTCCAGAAAACACCCAACCAGGGGTCAGACTCCCAGCCCCAGCGCTTCCCCCAGGAGAACCCTGGCCCCTCCCCCAGTTCGGTGGGAGACCGCTGGAGTCACCTCTGCAGGAGCAATTGGCTCCCCCATGTGGCCTCCCGAACCCCTAAGAACGACCTTGCAGCCGGCACCGTACACTTGCCACAGCGAGGAGGTGCTCACTGTTCTGGGGAGAAGGAGTCCTGGGCGCGGGGATCCGGGGCTGGGGGTCCTGGGAGCTCCCACGGAGTGGCGCCAGCGCAGCCCGGGGTCTCTCCACACGGCAGCCCGTACCTGGGGGCGCGTAGGCCGTCGTCGAACTCGAAGGTGCAGTTGGTGCAGCCCCCCGGGCTGCGCCCCCCGTCGGGAAGCGGCATGAGCGAATCCCGCCCCGCGCAGCTTTCCACGCGTGCGGCTCAGCCTCCGCGCTCTCCGCCAGGTTTCCGGCGCCCGTCCACGGGCGCCCTCTGCCGGCCGCACCGGGTCTGTGGTGGCGTCTGGTTCCGCCTGGGCAAAGTGGGGGTTCAAGGTCCCCCACCCTCGTTAGAGACACGATCTGTGGCCCTGAAAACAGGAGAGACGCATCTGTGGCTGGGAGAACCCAAGTACACACAGCTGGGCGCCCTGCAGGCTTCATCCCAAAGGGAGCGCCTGCCCCTCACCCGGAGGGACACAGAGGGCCAGTGACCTCCACGGGGGCTCCCCAGGTCAGAGGGCCTCGGTGGTTCTGGGAGTGCATGACGAGATGGTTCCTGGAACCCAGGTCCCTCAGGAGTCCCTTTCCTGTCTGCCTACAGGCATAGCAAGCTGAACACACGGGTGGGGTACTGGGTACAGGCCCGAGGGGTCCCCCAGGGGCGCATCCTGCACTTCCCCCTTGGTTCTGAGTGCTGAGAGAGGCAGTGCTCCGGTCCCTGCTCCCCCGGTCAGCTGTGGTCCCCAGCAGGACTCTGGCCTGTTCACTGGGCCTGGCCGCTGACCCATGGAGGGGTATCCTTGCTGTAAGCCCTCTGCCTGTGTCCACCACCACTCGCAGGAGCCCCAAGGGAGCTCGTGCTGCTGACCACAGGGCTCGGGCTGGGGATATAGCTCAGCGGGGAAGCACTTGCCCAGCAAGCACAAAGACCTTAGATTCCCAGTACCATGTCCCTAGCAGCGGGAGGGGCCGTGGGCAGGGCCCTGCCTTCCAGCCCACCCTCTCTGAAGGCAGCTGAGCTGAACAGGGCTGCTCGAGCGAATCCCATCCCGGGCCGTGCTACTGTTGTCCCCCCAATAGCTTTCTCTGTGACACCGCGGACCTCCAGGGGCAGGTGCTGCATGATCCAATCCGGAGCCAAGTGACCGCTTCTAAGCAGGGGCCCTGGAGCTGCCCCTGGCTGAGACCCCTGCAGAGAACTAGGCCCCACCCACACATGACCCAGCTCCTCCCCTCCCCGGGCCCTCTGCTCTCCAAGTGGCCTCTAGGGCTCACAGCCCCCTCTGGGCAGACCACCAGCAGAGATGAAGAGCTTGGCCCCCGTGGGCTGCACCCCTCATACCCCAGAAGCACCACATCTTTCCATTTCTGGACGGTGCCCTTTCTGCTACCCAGGGCCCACTCAGCCCCCCACAGCCTGAGGCCGAGTGGACAGTGGCAAGAGCTCTGCCTGACCATGCCCTGCACCTGGGATCACACTCCTAGGACTGCACCTGCTCTGGCTCCCTCTTGCCACTCTCTCTTGCTGCTGTGTCCCCTCCCCCTCAGTTACTCTGTCCTCCAACTGCTGTCCCCTGCAGGAGCCAGGAAAGTCGTCACCAAGCAAGCCAATGCCTAGCACCCCCTTGTAAGCTGTGCTATTCTGGAGAGCAGAAGGGTTTCTCCCACCTTCACCCACAGCTCAGGGTCAAGAACACTGAAAGGGGTAACAAGACAGCCAAGCTGGGGCTGAGACTTCTGCCCAGAGCCCACGTGGGGAGGATGGGGTCTCTGGGGTGGCGGCAGCACCCTGGAATGCAGCCCCTATACAGGGCCAGCGGGAACCCCACTGCTGTTTGCATATCGCCTTCACACCCACCCTCCGGGCTCCTGAGCCAGGACGCACGCACGCCTTCCTAGGGTCCAGAGACCGTGAACGCCCCTGGGAAGGGCGAGCGAGCAGGCTGGGCCCTGAGGGACGCCCATTGGCGCGCTGAAGCCTGCGTGGGCGGTGGTCTTGCCCCTTTCTAGCAACTTCTGGGGGTGGAGCTGACGCCATGGGCGGGGCCGTGGGCGGGACTGCACGGCCAGGGCGGAGCTCAGGGCGGACGCCACGCCACGCCACGTGGAGGCCCGGCGCACGTGGGGGCGCGCACCGTGCGGGGCTGGGCTGGCGAGAAGCCGCGCGCTGCGTGATTCACGCGCCCGCTTTGTTGTTGCGGCCTCCTCTACTGTGAATCATGGCGTCGCGGGCTTCCGAGCCCAAAGCTGGGCTCTCCAGGACCCCTGGCCACGGGAGGTGCCAGTGAGTCCCTGGGTGGTGGGCCGGGCGTCAGGTCCCACGCCTTTGTTCCCCTCCCTACCCCGCCCCGCCGCGCCCCGCGCGCCTGGCCCTGGGTGAGGAGAAGGTGCCAAGCTGGTCGGGCTGAGTTTGTTGGTGACCTGGACCTTTCTGTCCACCCAGCCGCACCTCAGAAGCACCGGTTGCTCAGTCCATGGCGGCTGGTGGCCTTGCCTGGGGTTCACAGAGCTGGATGCTCTTGTTCTTTTCCACACAGGGGCTCTTCTGCACCCCGGGCTGAGGCCGGCTTCAAGGATCCCGTGCAGGGCTCCGGCCCGCGCAAGAACCTAGCGGCCGCCAAGGGCGAGGCCCTCCCGAGGAATGTGCTCAGCGAGCGGGGGCGCAGGTTCGAGGCCTGGGGACAGTTTCAGTCCGCTGGGGGTGGTAGCTGCATGGGTGACCGAGTTCGAGACAGCCTGGTGGTCACCTCGTGAGGGGAGGGGCTACAGGGGTCACTGCAGTCTGCTCCTTGTCCCCAGATTGTAGGCGTCCAGAACTCCTGGGTCTGGGGTCTCTGGACCCTTGCTTCTGATTTACTGTAGGTGTAGTGGGGATTGGGGTGGGACCCCGTCTGTGCCCAGGGCTGATCGTGGTCGTGGGGACCCTGCTGCCCGAGAGGCCCCTCCCCTGGGGCTGCTGGGTGGTGGTTCTAGGGCTTGGGTCCCATCTGGTGACCTCCGAGTGGGTGCATAGATGTCCGAAAGAGAGCATCACTTGTCCGTAAGCAGGAAGCGGATCTCAGTGAGCTGCGAGCGCCTGCGGGCCCTACTGCCCAGATTTGATGGCCGGAGGGAGGACATGGCGACCGTCTTGGAGATGGCCGTGCAGTTCCTACGGCTTGCAAGAAGCCTGGTGCCCAGCCAGGAGCAGCACCTGGTGAGTTGTCAGTGGGTGGACCCAGTGGGTCTTCTGAGGCACCCCTGGCTACAGGTGGGACACTCCATGTTCTGCAGGACACTGCTGAGTCTGTTCACACTGCACTTGGGTTGGTTTGTTCTCCCCTTGGGAGGGACCAGCATTCCCCTGTGGCAAAACTCGATCATGTTTCCTGACAGTATTGATGGGTCACTCGGTACTGGACAGAGTCTTAGGGGGAGCGTGGTCTTTTTAGGCCTTCCTGGGAGAGCCCTACTTCATTGTCTTGTCTTTGGTTTTTTAGCCCCATGGGAAGGTCCCAAGGGGCGAGGCTGTCTTAAGTCCCTCATGTTTCCTGGGATGTCTGGCGGGCTGGGGATGGCGGCTCTGAAGCAGCTCGGGGAGGAGAGCTGTGCTGGTGTGCTGCGGGTGGGGCTCAGCAGGGTGCAGCAGCTGAGGAGTGCCTTGGTTGTCACCTGCGTCCAGCCCTGTCTGAGGTAGGCACAGGAGAGTCCAGGGTGCACGTCCAGCGTGTGGGCACGCAGGGAGGCAGCCGCTGCTGCCACAGCTACTTCCTGTGGGTCTCATAGGTGATCCGAGTTCCTGGTGCTTGAATTTCAGGTTCCTGCTACAGCTAGGGCCACATGGCACACCTGGCAGGGGGACGTTCTGCAGTGGGCCCTGGCAAGCCAGGTTTCAGCAGGCAGGCCAGACCCTGGGACTGCAGCATCCAGCCAGACTCTGTGAGTGTCCCCTGGGGCAGTGTGTGGATCAGGTGGCCTGGCGTGGTCTCCAGGATGAGGGACTTGCCTTAGGAACAGGCTGAGAGAGCAGAGGCCAGGCATGGGGGTCATACGTTCCCAGAGAGTGGCTTGGGCAGCAGACTTGGGGGGCTAGGCTGGTCCCCGGAGACAGCGCACCCAGGCCGTGGGCCTGGGCCTCACCCTGCTTCTGGTTTTCATGTCTTCCAGGCAGCAGGAGCCACTGGGATGTGCATCCCAGGGTGCAGGCGAGAGCAAGGCCCCAGCTGGGCTGTCGGAGCAGCTGGGTGGACTGCCTGCCCTGCCTGGTAAGTGTGGCCGTGCGTGTCAGGGCGAGCAAGGCAAATCCTCCAGGCACACAGCTGACCCAGCAGGGTGAGGGGTTTCAGAATGGCTTTTGGAAGTTAGGCTGAAACTCAGGGACCTGCCGCGTCCCCTCTGGGCCCTAGCTGCCCTGCAGCCCCACTCTGGGCAGCCACACGTACCCCAGTGGGACGCAGAAGCTGCCTGTCCTGATCACCACTGGCCCTACCTACAGCCAGCTCTGGCACCATTGCCTGTGCCTTAGTTTCCCTGGCTGGTTAGTAGCAGGTTTGCATCCCAGGTGGAGCCAAAGCTCTGGTTCCCAGCCCTCCGTCCCGCCCATGCTCTGTGGGGGCAGCAGTGTTCTGCTGCTGTCTCTGCCCCATGGGCCTTGTTTCCTGCTGCCATGGCCCCCGTCCTTGGCTCTCCCCAGATGCTTGTTGCCACACAAACATGTGCTAGCTCTGTGGGGAGGTCACCGCACAGCGGGGGTGCCACCCAGACTCCCTCAAGCGTGCTCACTGTTGGGAGGAGCCAGCTCGCAGCAGGGCTGGTGGCAGAGCTGGGGTCACCAGGAATTCTGAGGTCTACGCTGAATGTGGCAGAGTTCACACTGGCCAGGAACAGGTCTGGCGCCTGAGGTGGAGGTTCAGGGCTGAAGGATCCCCGGATCTGACCCCACCTGAGGCCTCCCTGACCGCAGGTGTCATGCACCTGTCGCTGGATGTGTCCCTTCCTGGTCTCCTGTCTGCCGTCTGCCAGCAGGGTTTTCCCTGTGAGCTGCAGCAGTGGCCTCTGGGCAGAATGTGAGGCCAAGAGCGGAGAGGGTAGGAGGCTAACTGCCTCTCTCCCTCAGGGCCCTCTAACCTCGGCTCCCGGCTCCCTCCCTGGCCTTCCTACGCTTGTCAGCTGACCTCCCCAAAGGTGGTCGAAGATGCTGCCATCAGGCAGGGCCTGGCTGGGCCTCCAGCCAGGAGCACCGCATCTCCCAGCAGGCTGGCGGGGGAGGTGAGCCTGACCCCTGCAGTGGACAGCAGGTGGGTTCCCAGTGAGGCAGGGCTGCATCCCGAAAGCCTCCCTCCACGCCGCCCAGCCTGTCCGTCTCCTCTCCAAGCCCTTGTTTTGTGTTCTGCGCCTCCCTGAGCCAAGTGGCTTTGTGCCGTGTGTCTGTTACACCCGATGGTCTGCTGTTTTGGCTGACATAAAATGAGTTTATGTTTTGGGAGCACACACCAGCTGGGCGTAGGAGGGGAGAGGGGAGCGGGACGCCGCTGCGGCTGCGGCTGCGGCTGGACCCGCAGAGAACTTTGCTGGACGGATGGGGCTGTGGCCTCCGCAGGCCTTCCGCCTGCTCGTGGTGGCTGGAGCCCTGCATTTGGCACGGTCACGTGGCACAGGGCCTGGGGCCATCCCTTGAGGTCAGCAGGTCTGGGGACACCTGTGGCATCTTCTTGCTTCCAGGTCTGCGTTTGGGCTGGACCCAGAGGATGGGGAGTCCTTCCCGCTGAGTGCCAGTCCCGATTTGTGGCTGGGTAAGCGGGGCCCAGGTCCAGGCTGCCTTCTTCCGCGTGGGTCCTGGCTGGGGGGTGCCCAGGAGGTAGGGTGGCCGTCTGGGGCCTTCTCTGAGCCTCTGCTGCCTCCCTGGCTCTTGTCAGGGTGACCAGCAGGGAGGGTTGGCCACACGAGCAGTGTGTGCAGAGGGCTGCCTGGGGTCCCGGGCCTGTTCTCCCTGTCCTGGTCCCCACAGCCAGCCACACTGGCCCTTGGAGGCACCTGGAGGTGTAGTGTGGTGGCTGCTGCCTCTGGGAGCAGGGCCACCAGTTCCCCAGAGGAGTAGTGGGCACAGGCGTGGGCAATGCGTCCTGCAGGCCGCGGTGAGAGCCCCAGGGCACCCTGACTCTCTCTGGCCCCTGCCTGCCCTGCTAACATGACCCGTGTTTCCAGGGTCTGTGGAGGCCAGATTAGCGACCCCAGCCAGAGCCTCGGCCAGAAGCAGCCCAGTGGGCAGGGCGGAACTGGGCTTCCCGGGCGACCCTGTGCCCAGCTCCCAGGAACTCCAGGACAGCCCCCTGGAGCTGTGGGGCTCGGACGTGGATGCCTGGGGCTTGGACCTGAAGGACGATGGAGTGGACAGCATCTTCACCGACTTCCTGGCCAGCTAGGAGCTGGGCGGGCGGCAGCGGCAACAGCGCCTGTTGTGCACGTGGACGGCTATTTTGGTGTGGGGTTGCAGCTGCGCTCTAATTTGAGTGCGGCTGGTAGGGCCTCACGAGTGGGAGTTGGCTATTAAAGGGAAAGCGTTTCTCCTGGAGGAAGCAGTGTTTCTGTGTAATTAATCTAGTTCACCAGGCAGCTGCCCAGACTCGGCTCTGCAAGGGCCTGGGCATCGTGGAGTCCAAGGTAACCACTCTGGTGCTGGACCAGGGCATGGCACCGGCCTCTCCTGGGCTTCTCTGAGCTGCTCTTTCCTGCTTGCCATCCTTCAAGTTGAAGGGCTGGGTGTTTGTGCTGCTGGGGACAAGGCTCTCTCAGCACAGGCCATCTCCCCCCACACCGTGAGTGGGGTTGCTGGGCTCACCCCGGACCCCCCAAGCCCCAGCATCTCAGGAAGGACTGGGCCGGGATGCGCTGTGGGGAGGGTGAGGCCACAGGAGCAGAGTGTGTGGAGCAGGCTGCCTGGGGTCCTGGGCCTGTTCTCTCTTCCCTGGTCCCCACAGCCAGCCACACTGGCTCCCTCGAGACAGCCCCATCCCTAGCTGCCACCCACTCCAGCCTGGGTTCTGTGGTGAAGCAGTGCCAGCCCCCAAGGTGCAGATGGATCCTCGCGTGGCCTCAGCCCCTATGCCCTGCAGAACCCGCTCATTGTATGAGTTGTTCCAGCGTGGCCCAGGGCAGCAGAAACGGGCAAGAGGCTGTTTGACGGAAGCTTGGGGCGAGGTCCACTGGGCCCAGCCCCCACCAGGCTAGGGGACACAGGCCTGCATGCTCGCTGTGTCCCAGGGGACGTCCAGGGGCCTTGAGACAGTGCAGGATTCACCGAGGCAGAGGACTGCGGGATGAGGAGCCCGGGGTGCTGGCCATGTTGCAGCCTGCCTGGGACACACGGGGTCCACATGCGTGGGGGGGGGGACACGTGCTTGTAGACCCGTCTCGTGTACACCGGTGGGGTGTGCATGTATTGTATACCAGTGAGTGCTGGTGTGTGTACACGTGTACATCTAGAGTACAGGCCCCGCAGGCTTTGGGGGCTCCCTGGCTTGTGCCCCAGCTCCGGTGGTGGGGTGGACACGATGAGCTCAGGCTCAGTGCGTCCTGTTCCCAGCCCAGCAGGACAGTCATGACCTACCAGGGCTTCTGTGGGCTAAGCCCAGCACCTGGCCTGCGCTTGGTGCTGATGCACAGCCTGTGTGGGAGGCCGGATCCCCTGCAGACTGAGGGAGGTTGAGGAGCCCCAATCAAGGGCCTAGGCACCCCCAGACTTCCTGCTGCCCGGTGAGGGAGGGACCCGTCCCAGGAAGCAGATGGCCTCCCGTCCCTCCTAAGCAGTAAGGAATGAAGCTGAGCCCCAGCCGGACCGTGCTGGCTGTCTCTGCTTGGAGACTGAGACGGCAGGGGTCTTATGTCCTGGCACCAGGCATAGCCTGCTTCTCTGGAAGCTTCCCCACCAGGAAGGCTCTGCCAGGGCCAACCTCCAGGGAGGCTAGAGGGTGCTACAGGGGAGTGGGACTGCCTCAGGAGCGCAGAAGGGGCGGCCTGGGCCTGAGGTCTGTTGTGGAGTGCTGCTCTGGGCAGACGTGTTGTTCCCCTTGTTCCCACACAGCTCTCCCCACTCCTCTGCTCCTGGGGCTCTGTTGTGGACCAAGATGCAGGTCTGGTTGCCCTGGATCAGGGTGGGTTCAGAATTCGCAAGCAATTGGGGCTCAGCTGCCAGTCCATGTACCCTCCCTGCCCTGCCTGGCATCCGTCTCCCTAGGAAGTAGGGCAGTGGCCCTCCTCATCCCACAGGTGCCCAGCAGCCAGGCAGACAAAGTGCGGCCTCCCTGCTGCAGGCCTGGGCAGTGGGAGCCAGCTCAGCCTGCTCCAAGCCTGCTACCGCCCCCACAACAGGTGCCGCGGCGTCAGGAGGGCACCCCCACCCCAGGTGGCACAGCACTTCTCGGGGGCCGGACTACCTTCCACCTTGGCGGCTATGTGGGAGTTACCATGTGCTTCTCGGCCCCCTGAGGTAGTGGCAGGAAGTGGGTGCCCGCTGTCGCTGTCACTGGAGCTGGCCCTCCTCACCTGTCTCACCAACGGGTCATGGGGCACCCCTGCCATTCAGTAGTGCAGCAGCCCCCAAAATTCGCCTGAGTGGAACCTCAGGCAGGATGGAGCCTCAGCTGGAAGTGGGATCCTTGCAGGTGTTCTTAGGTAGGGCTCTCAAGGCAGGGTCACCCGGTCTTAGGTACCTTGAGGGGACTCGGGGCAGAGGCAGGGCCTGTAGCACTATGGCCTGGGACAAGGAGCCACAGGCCACATTGGAGAGAGGCTTCCAGAGAGACCCGCCCAGCCTGGCTTCTGTGTTCCAGCGTCCAAGAACAGAGGGGACCCATGTGTTCTGCTTGAACCCCTGGCCACTGCCAGCAGTCACAGCAGTCTGGGAGCAAATTCCTGGTTTGCATCCAGCAGACAGCCTGTCTTCTCAGCTCACCTTCTGCTCAGGCGTGGAAACCTTCCCAGCAGGCAAAGTTTCAAAGCTCTCACCTCACTGGATCCGCTTCTCCGTGCCCAGTGGCCCTGCCCATCCTCCCTGGGCACCGCAGGCCCTGCCCTGCCCTAGGCGTGTCTGCTTTCCCACCCAGAGGTGACCCCTGCAGATGGGCAGGGGCTGTGGCTGTCTGAGGCCCCCTCTGCTAGCCACCCCACCTTTGTACTGAAGGTGCTTGGGTTGGGGTCCTGTCAAAGGGAAGTATCTGGTGGGCCCATCACCCTCACGGTGGCCTCGTTCCCCAGGCCACCCTCCTCGGCTGGCTCCCAGGCTCAGCTGCCGTCCCCGCCTGGGGTGCGGCTCCTCAGCATCTGCCCGAAGCCTCTGAGACGCCAGCATCAGGGATCAGAAGCTGCCAGAGCCACTTCTTCCTGAACAGATGCTTCACCATCCCCTCTGGTGGAGCTGCCCAGCACTGTGCTGCCGGGAAGGGTGGGGGTGGGTGTCACCGCCTCATCCTGGGGGCTCTGAGGCACCTTGTGCCCTGGGGATGCGGGGTCTGCGCTGTGCCACCAGTGAGGGCTGCCTCCCTTCCCCCTGGGCTTCCTGGGTTTGCAGGTAAAAGGGCAGGTGGGTGTCCAGCGAGGATAGCAGGTGCGGCTCTGCAGTCTCCCCTGGAAGCCTAGGTCCCCAAGTTCCAATCCCAAGGCTTTCCCCACCTCTGTCTTTCAGGTCAGCACAAATCCTGTGGCCTCAGATCTCCCCAGCTTCCTGCTCGCCTCCGAGAGAGTCTGGGCCGCTACACGCTTGCTGGTGGCCCTCTTGCCTCGTTCTGCATGGTTCCAGGAGTCTGTCACCTCCTGGACACAGCTAGATGTCTGGCTGTCCTTTGAGAAAGGCACTGCCCGTCCTGTGGCTTATGGGCATCTTGTGGGGGGCCTGTGGCAGTCGCCTCACACAGGACACTGTAGCCCCGAGCCTTAGGACCTCGCCACCCCCTGCCCAGCCTGTGTGTGTGCCTGTGGCCCTCAGCCACCTCCACACTGCCTGAAGCCATGGCCGGCTGCCCCTTGCTTTTCCTTATAACTTTCCTAATGTGAACCCTGAACACTTGCCTTGACCTTCGTACAAGCAGCGCCGTGCAGGCGGCGTGCGCACCGCAGGGCTGGAGTTGCAGGGACAGTTAGCGCGTCTGTGAGAACCGGGTGCTCTCTCTGGCCTTACAGGTGCTCCCTTCACCAGTGGGAGCGGGTGTGTGGCCTTGGCACCTCCGGATTCGCTTTCCATCCTCCTGTTCCCCTCCGTCCCCCTCCCTCCAGCTGTCTCTTCCCTTCCAACTTTACAAGTCCCGCGCTCCGGCTGTCTCTTGTTTTTGGCTTACCGCCGTCAGCATTCGGTCAGCAGGGCTTGTCCAGATACCAGCACACATCACACTTCTCTTGCACTGCAAGGCTGGGTGATGTTCCGCTGTGTGTGTGCACACCTGTGTGTGACATTTTGTCTGGGCATTGTCTATCCATGGCTGTCAGACCGTTTTCACACTCGGTTCTCGCAGATAACGCGCTGTGAGCCTGAGGGTGTGGGATGCCGCCGCCAAGGAGTGGGGTGGCTCACTAGGAAGTCCGTGTTGCTTATTCACTTACTTGGTGGTGCTGGGATTTGAACCCAGGCCTCGTGCGTCCGAGAGGTGCTGTGCTGCTGAGCCACCGTCACCCCGTGTGTGATTCGTGGGCCCCCCAGCCGTATTCCCTGATGTCCAGTTTGTGTGACCATGCACTTGCTGTGCGCGTGGCTTTGTGTTTCAGCTTGAAGTACAGACCGTGGCCGGCCTCAGAGTGCACAGAGGGGCCGAGGGCTCCGGTTTGCCTTTCCGCTGCGGGGAGCAGCGCTGCGTCTTCCAGCAGTGTGCCGCCTTCTTTGCATCCTGTGCCTCAGCCAGGCCAGGTTGTCGGGTGGGAGAGGCTCTGTGCAATCCGGCCAGCGCCCCCCACTGATTGCCAGGTTGCCCTGTCGCATGCTCAAGCGCCTTTCTGCCTTCTTGACAGTGTTCCGTGGTATTCTGGAGCTGGGTGTGTGTGTGTGTGTGTGTGTGTGTGTGTGTGTGTGTGGTACTGGGGATCAAATTCAGGACCTTGCACTTGCCAGGCAGGCGCATACGCTGCTGGGCTATCTCTCCAGCCCGAGCTTTTGGTTTTGATGAGGTTGGGTTTGTCGTCTCGGGGTAGTTGCTTGTGCTTTCGGTAGCCAAGCAGCCATCCCCAGTCTAATGTCACGAAGGTTTTCCTCTGACAGGGCGGACAGCTTTGGGATTTATATGTAGCTCTCTGGTCTGCTTGCAGGTTTGGGGAAGGGTGTGAAATCCCACAGCACTACCCCTGGCGTCTAGGTGTCCGGTTCCCGGCCTCGCTTGTAGAGAGGACGTCCTCCTCACAGAGCGCGTGGACGCGTCCGTGGCCCCTCGCCCGCTGCGCCCGCTGCGCCCGCTGCGCCCTGTGCTTGCTGCAGCTTGGGGCTGTGTGAGCCTCGTTCTCGTCCAGGACTTTGGCCATTCAGGGTCCCGTGAGGTCTCATGCTTTTCTTCTTGGCGCTCTCACGCATAAAGGCCTGTTTCCAGTTCAGACGTTCGCTGTCAGCGTGGGGGGCAGTCGTGGCCTTTCAGGCGTTTCCGCTCTCGGTGGCACAGGGGACCACAGCCAGGGCCTTCTCTTGCGCCCCCTCCCTCGCCCTTCACTTTTCCTTTCCAGACAGGCTTACCCAGGCACTGCATTGCCCCGCCTCAGACCAAAGCAGGGTCTTCCTGTCTCAGCCTCCCCGAGTGTTGGGACTGTGGGAATGCACAACAATGGGGGGCTCAGAAGCCACTGATGTTTGAGCGTAGCCTTTGCCTCCGGCAAGTTTGTGTTATCACTTATGCACTCTGATTGCTGTTGGGCGTCTTGGGGTGTTCTAACGGACCGTCTCGCCCGTGCGGAACAATGATTTCATTTTGCTTTCCTGCCCAAGATCCTCACCCTGGTTTTCCACACTGCTCTTTTGGCACCCTGTGTTTCTTCAGCTCTTTGGACCCTTTGCAGCACTTGCCTGTCCCCTGTGCCAGCGACTTACGGCTGCCCTCCCCCAGCCCGGAGGCTCGTGGGGGGCTCTCTGGCCCCAGAGCAGCTGTAGTCGCACCCCACCCACGTGGCCCTCGCATCTCCATCCCCAGCCACGGTGCACCATCCTGGCCCGGAAGCCTTCCCACGTGGCGACTGTCTTCAGTGCCACCCTCATGAGTGACAAGTGACTCAGCTCCCACAGGTGACCTCTCCCCCACTCGGTGTCCAGGTGTGTAGTTTCAATCTTTGCTTTAAATTGTGGTCTCTTCATTCAGGGCAAGAAGTTGACAGTGAGGAAGAAGAGCCAGGCCCGGTGCGATGTCACCCTGCCAGCCCTGCCTGGCTCATGGCCCCTGGGCACACGGGGATGGCAGACCCTAAGCCAGAGCAGGCACCACCTCTACCGCCCCTCATGGGCCTGGAGCAGCTACAGGCCTGGGTGGGGCTTCTCTCCAGTCCTGTGCGTCCTCGCTGCTCTGTGTGGCCAGTCTGTCCCCAGTGGGGGCTGGACAGACGCCCAGAACCAGTGAGGGGACTGCAGGGGCATCATCAGTCCCCTGGATCGCCTGGTGGCCATGGGGCCATCACCAGTGGCTTTCTAACACAGACAACAAAGGAGGTGTGTGTGCGTGCACATGTGTGTGTATGTGCATGTGCATGTGCACGTGTGTGTGTGATTTTCAGGTTCATAGCAAGACTGAGTGCAGAGCTGGGTGGAGGAGGAGGACCCATGAGCTCAAGGAGCACACCCGAGATCTTGTCTCAAAGCAAAACAAAAAAAAGAATAGGGGCTGGTGAGATGGCTCAGTGGTCTAAAGCACCTACTTAGATCAAGCTTAGCAAAACAAAGCACAGGGACTGCGGTTCAATCCCCCAGCCCCACATGCCAGCCAGCCTCGCCCCCTGGTGGGCTGAGCTGGCCACACACACACACATACATGAATAAAACATTTAAAAAAAAAAAAAAAGTTCCCTTTAAAAATAAGTAAATAAATAAATAAATAAACCGGAAGTTCAGTGCCAAGCCCAGAGCTCCCCTCCCCGCCAGTCCTCCGCCACACAGCCCCCTCTGTCAACCCTGTAGAGGTGGGTTTGTCGTGACCCTCACTCGAGTGCACAGTGACCCTCCACCGTCCCGGGTGTGGTGTCATGGGATTCCTGCCATCAGTGTCTTCTCTGGATTCTGGTGCCTGTGGGACACTCACACGCACCTTGTGGTGTCACGCCGCGTGCTGCCACCCAAGTGCCCTGTGCTGTGCTCCACCCATCTGTCCCATCTCTCCCTGCTCTGCTAGCACTCCAAGGGGCCCAGGAAAGAAGGTGCTGCCTCGAAGAGCAGAGAGCTAGACGCGGCCGGGGTCCAGAGGAGGAGGGTCCTGCCCCCGGGCCCTGAATTAGACTTCCGGGCCTCAGAGCTGTGCAAGGAGAAATTCTGTTCTGAGCTGCCAGGTTTGCATTCCTTGTCACCGCAGCCACAGGAAACCAGTTTGGTTCCCCAGAGAAACTCAGGCGTCTTGGACACGGCCGTGTGCCCGCCTGGGCCCCTGCGGTCTCTAGTTCTCCCTCATGCTTGCGCCCTGTGCATGAAGGGCACAGCTCCTCAGCAGGGACCCCTGTGGGCATCGGCTGCCTGGACCAGGGTCACGCCTGTCCTTCTCCCTGGAGCACCCCCGTCCGAAAGTCCCATCTGCCTGTAAGACGCACACTGTGGTCAGTGGAAAGACGGTCCCCAAAGACACCACCTCCCGTGACGGGCCTGTGCATGTCGCCCATGGCGCAGCACTTGGGGCTGTGATATGGTTAGGACCTCAGGGTGAGGCTGCTGGATGCCCCGAGCATCATCTCGTGTGTCCTTGGGGAGGCAGAGTGCATGGGAGGATGCTGCCGCCCACTTCAGCGGAGGGGAGCAGGGGGCCTGCACTCGGCTCCATTTCATCCCAGAGACACTGAAAGACCACAGACCCACAGACCACAGAGAGGTCCCTCGTAGGAGAGGCTGCGCCGGCCCAGGGGGCTTCCCCCTCCCAGAAAGCTCCAGGCCGGCCAAGCCCGCCACAGCTAGCACCTCTCTAGGTTCTGACTGCCATCTCTCCTGAGCTCTTGGTCCCTGCTGCCCCCTTGCCCCCAACCAGCAGCTCACCTGGGTATAGTAGAGTACCTGGGTGTCATTGGCATGAACCCCATTTCAGGGAGAAAACTCTCGCTACTGAGCTGCGGAGAAAGCTGCGGCCTCACCTGAAGACACTCTCGTTCTAAGTAGGTGCTTTAGACCACTGAGCCATCTCACCAGCCCCAGGAAACAGCTCTTGCTCGGAGCCAAGGGACTCCTGGCATCTGCAGGGCCATCCTCAGGGTCGCTTCCTGTCCGCAGGGTGCTTCCTGTCTAGAGGGGCATCCTGTCTGGAGGGCACACTGCTCCTGCAGCCCACTGGGTCTCCGGCACCGCCAGCAGCTCAGGGCCCTCAGCACTCTCAGCACAGGAGGAAAAGGCTCCAGCCCGCTCCCTCCCGGGGCGGCCGGTGTTCGGGTGCCTGGGCAGGACCCTTCGGGAACACCGGGAGTCAGGTGTCTGCTCTGCTCCGCCCAAGCGGGCTGTGTTCCTGCTCTAGAATCTGCACCGGCAGCCGGGTGCACCACATGCCAGGTGTTCGTGGTCACTCAGGGAAACGGCAGAGCGCTCTCACCCGCCTGGCCGCGCCCCCAGCCATGGAAGCATTCCAAGGGCCTCCTCGGGTGTCCACGGGTGCGGGGGCCGCTGGGGTCCAGGCCTGAGCACTGCACGGCTCATCCACAGTGGAAAGCTGGGCGTGGGACGGGAGTCAGACCCGGGGCATCTGACGGCCCAGCGCCTGAGTCTCTAGGGACACATGAGAGCCCCCATCTAGGTCAACTTCCTGGCCCCAGTGCCACCATGAAGCAAGATCGTGACTCAGGGAAGAGGAACCCCTTCATTTCTTTGATCCACCACTCTTCTTTGTGCCCATGGTGAAAAAGTTCAGTCAAGACCACAGGTGGCCGGCAGACGCACAGGTAGAGCTTGGTGTAAGGAGAGAGGCACGCCTTCGGGGCAAGGCGAGCCGTGCCCCCTGCACCAGTCGGCGCTCAGGTGCATTTTTACAACACAGTTACTCCTGGTGTTCAGGAAAGCGGGGTAGTTATGTTATTGACGTTTTACTTTGACATTACTTTGGAATTGCAAACAATCTTCCTGTCCATTCCAGAGGGTCAGTGTTTCCTCCAGAGCTTAAATCGTGGAGGAAGTTAGGATGAAATTTGTGAAAGACAAGCTAAGCCCTTCGTTTAGGCCGGGAGGGTCCCTAAAGAACATCTCAGCGGCCGGGGAGACGGCTCAGTGGAATGAGCGCTTGCCTGGCAAGCACAAGGGCCTGAGTTCAGCCCCTGGTACCGCCAAATAAATAAATAAATAAATAAGAATGTCTCCTCCCTGATGCGTGGCATGCGCTGTGGGCCGCAGTGCCCGGCAGTCCGGCATGCCCGGTGGCTGGGTGTCAGCAGGGCTGTACAACACGTGTGAACCTAATGCCACTGTGCCCCACGGGACTGGTTCCGAGACCTCACAAGTGGTGACAGACGTGCTGTCTGTGACATTTTTGCTTCTCCTCACTGGCAGAGTGCACTATGCTGACACCCACCTCTGCCTCTCAGGCCCACAGATGTCCTCCGCCTGCCGCACACACGGACACTGTCCTGGCTCCTTCGGGTGAATCTCTTCAATCCCATATTCCGCTGTCATCCTGGGTTGTTCCTATCGGCCCTGAGTCCCATAGGGCAGAGCCTCTGCCCCCCTGGTCACAGCAGCCTCAGCAGGGCAGGTGAGTGGCTCCTCCTGCACCTCAAGGGCCCCACAGAGGTTGCCGCAGGCAGACTGCAGGCTCCTGTGGATGTGGACGTCACCTCCCTGGTTTTGATTTTGTCTTCTGCTTCGTTGCAGGAAGGAGACTCAAAGGTGTTCTTGTCCAGGCCTCTGTCCCCGTGCCCGAGTCCTTTGCGGGTCATGTCGCTGGAGGGTGGGTGTGAGTCCCCAGCCCTAGGACTAGGGAGCCCTCGTCTGCCCGGGACTTTGCCTCCCAGAAGTGGCCTGGAACCTGGGGTAGGTGTGCACACCACTTGGCAGCCCTAGAGTGGCAGCACCGAGGGATGAGAGCAGTGGTCAGTGCAGAGCGCTGTCCTCCGCGTCACCGCGTCATTGCGCTCTTGGCATCCTGCCTGGTGCCATTTTATTTCCCCACCTGTTGTGTCGCTCTCTCCACCTCCTCCACGTCTGCCCAGCCTACCTGGCCCTGGCTCTCTGCCCCAAGGCCAGCTTCCCTGCCCTGACCTTGTCCCCCATCCCTGTCGAGACTGCCAGAGCTGCAGGCCAGGGCCAGCCCCACACTGAGCAGGACCGGGCAGGGAGGGCCTGTGGGGACCCACATGCTGCCAGGCAGCTCCCTCCCACAGTGGCCCACACTCTACTGCCCCAGGGGCCAGTTTTCCACATCAACCCACATGTGCCCTGTCACGGCTTTGCCAGCCAGGCCGTTCTGTCCCAGTGACCAGGCCTTCAGCAGGGCGATGAGTGGTTGCACACGGCCTCCATCCCACAGCCCCACCTCAGCCCTGGCCTTCTCTGGAAGTCTCTGGTACTCGGCTTTGCTGGTGAAGTGAGCCGCGGGGCAACCTCCGCAGGGACCACAGCCTAGACTGGGCCCCAACACAGAGCCTTCCGGGAATAAAATGCTCCCCACCAAGGGCCGCAGAGCATTCCCCACAAGGCCCTTGATCCCCGGGGCGGTCAGGAGGTGGAGGGTCCTGGGCAGTGGTGAAGGGGCCTGGCCCTGGCAGCGGGTGGGGGAGCCAGGGTGGGCAAAGGCCTGGGCCCGACAGCTGCCTGGAGCGCAGCAGCTCCCCGTGGAGAGGACTGAGACTCATTCGCAGTTGCGAGAAGGATCACCAAGTGGTCCCAGGGTCCCCGCCCACCCCCCCAACGACCACAGCAGCACAGTCACACCGTGTCCCTACCATGAGTGGCTCCCCGTGAGGTGGGCCAAGGGCTGAGAGAGGGAGAGAGTGCATGTGTAGCTTTGTGCATTGTCCCCCAGGAGCAGGGCCTGTGCATGAGGCAGGACCCCCCCCCCCACTGCCCTCCTGACCCCAGAGGTGTCTTTGCTGTGCTTCTGCCCCCTTGAGGGCTTGGCAGATGGGGTGGAGGCCGGCTTTCCCACTCTGTAACCCCTCTCAATCATGGTCTGTCCACATGGTTCCCTTCCATGCCAGCCTGTGGTGCTGGCATGGAGGGGCCACTACTATGTGACGTGGCCTTTTGGGGGCTGGGGGCCATGTCCCCTCATTTGGATAGCTGCTTTTCTCCCACAGGATGACATGGAGGCGTGGCCCCAGCCCAGCCAAGACGTGGGCCGGCAGCTGAGGCTCTGGGGCATTCCAAGGCCTCTGCCAGGCTCCTGGGCCCCAGGGCCTGCACACGGCGGAGCCCTCAGGACCCGTGCTTCTAGGCCTGGACTCGGGTAGATGCTGGGAAAGGAAGGATGCGCCCAGGGCAGTCTGTTGGGGTTGCACCATGCTGAGAAAGGAGGTGCTAAATGGTGTCCCCCCAGAGATAAGCCCCTCCTCACTCCTGGACCTGCGGATGAAGTTTATTTGGAAAACGGCTTCCTACAGATGTGCTCAGTGCCTGGGTGTGTGGTCTCAGCCCGGCCTGATCTGCAGACAGGCACCATCACCAGAGGTACAAGATCTGGGGGCTCTTGGAGACAGAGGCAGAGGCTGGGATGAACCAGTCACGAGCCAGGGGACACTGAAGCCACCAGCAGCCAGGCGAGGCAGGACGACTTTTCCCAGCACCCTGGGGAGCGTGGCCTTGTGACACCCGGACCTGGGACATCAGGCTGCAGGGCTACAAGAGAGTAAGGCCTCACTGCCCTGCATGCCACTGGCCAGCAGCCTCTGTGGCCCAATTTCCTGCACTGCCCAGACCCTGCCCCCACGAGGACAGGAGCCCGACTCTAGTGTGCAGGACAGCACCGCCACCACATGCTCTGCATCCCAGGAAAGCCTGGTGGCCAGGTGAAAGGTGGGCTCAGAGAAATGGTGCTCCTAGCCTTGTGGGCTGAGACGCTGGCCTCTGACGTGGACCCCAAGCCGCCGCCATCCAGTGCCCCTGCCACCCCGGGCTGTGTGTCTGGTGCCCATCAAAGCTCACGTACCTTAAGGCTGGGCCAGTTCCACTTCCACTACATGCAGGGACCTGGGGAGACAGGGCTCTCAGACAGGTAGGGGGCACATCCCAGCCCCAGGCTCCTTCCACGGGCCCCAGGGAGAGGGGGAGCCCACCTTTCTGGGCCAAATTGATGCTGTTTCTTGGACTCATCCTGTACTTGCTGTAGGCTCTTTTGAATCTGTCCAGGAAGGGCCTGCCAAGCACTGGTGTGCGTCCTGAGGACAGATTTGGAGCCATTATGAGGGAGTCTGTGGGCTGCACCTTGCCCAGAGAGGGCTGTGCCAAGTGCGTTAGGGTGCTGAAGCCCCATCTCGGGGCTGGTCTGGAAGGCCCTGCCCCGCCCAGGGCTGTGCAACCGGGTCCCCCCAGCCAGGCCCAGTGGCCCTGGCAGCCAGGGCTCAGTACCATAGAGGGCCAGCACTTGGGTCTTGGTGCCATCGCGGGTGTTCTGCATGTAGAGGATGAGGTACACCCAGTAGTCTGTCTCCAGAACCAGCACCTTGTTCTCCCCCTCGTCTGTTGGAGACACAGCTCGGCACGGCCCTGGTACAGCCCACGTTCCCCGGGCTCTGGGGTGCATGCAGTGGACTGTGTGAGACCCAGCTCCAGGGCACTTTGAGAGCCGAGGGTGTCCAGGCAGGTGCCAGCCTGGGGGAGGTCCCTGCACAGTGGCGGGCAGCCCCTAGGCCCCTGCATGCCACCTTCCCACAGAGCAGCGGCCGCCCAGCCGACCTGGCCCATCAGTGGCCCAGGGAAGTGGGCCAGGCCCCAGCGGAAGGAATTCCTGGCTCCGGCCCAACTTACAGGCAATGGAGAACTCCCCGTTCTTCTGTGTTTTCTCGCAGGTCACAGTTATGAACACACACTCCCTCTGCAGCCTAAGGAGCCAGGGAGATGGTTCAGTGGAATAAGCACTTCCCCAGCAAGCGCAAGGGCCTGAGTTTGCTCCCCGGTTCCTCAATAAAAAAAAAAAAAAAAAAAAAAAAAAAAGACAACCCCTCTGCAGCCTGGACACCGCCAGCAGCCTCAGGTGGGCACCAGCCCCAGGGGCCATACGAGAAGAGCACCCCAGCGCGGGGGGCTCCCCATGTTCCCCTCCAAGCCGTGTCAGGCAGCCCCTCCCCCAGCAGGCTCCCCAGTCTCTGCCATCCTGACACCCCACTGTGGGTCCCACGACCTATGTGCCTGGGACAGCAAGCTTGTGCATGCCCGTGCGGGGTAGGGTGGGGCGGGGCGGGGCGGGGCAAGCCCCCCAGGACCTTGACTGTGTGACACTCACATGAAGCGGAAGTTAAACAGGAGGCTGCCGTTCTTTAGGAGCTCGATGCTCTGGATGAAGAGGCGCAGGTCCCCGTCCACGCCAATCCTCGTCATGTTGCTGGAGGCCAAGGAGATCAAGAACCAGGGCCCCTCGACCTGGGGGATGGCTGGGGTGCTGGGGCCTCTCCTGCCCTCCGCTCCCTGCCCTCCCTGTCCCTTCTCCTCAGTCCCCCCTTCTCCTTCCCTCTGATAAGCGCCCCCCAGCCATGGTCGCCAGGCAGCTGTCCTTGTCCCGGGCCAGAGACCCCAGTGCAGGCGCACAGGTTCCAGCCTACCCTGGCCATGTTGAAGTCCTGCTCCACAATTTCCTCGGGGTGGAACTCCTGGGCCAAGGCCAGGCTCAGCATCAGGCCCAGCAGAAGCAGCGCCATGGTTTCTGGAGGGCGCTCAGCCAGCCACCCACCTTTTATATTGGCTCTGCGCCCTCCTTGCAGCCCGGGGGAGGCACCATCTCCGGCCCATCCACACATCCTGTGCCCACCACCGTCACCGGGAGCTCAGCCAAGGGCCCCAGCAAGGCTGCCCTCGACTGTGCCCAGCCCATCTAGGAGCAGCCACTGGGCCACTGGACTCAGTGTCAGAAAGGGCCAGAGGGAGGCAGGCAGGATGCTGGCCACGTACGGGCCTGGCCCTCCCTGCATCTCTTGCCCATGGTCCGCAGGGCCCGCCTGCCCCCACCGGCCTCGGGATCTCCTGAGCAGGACCTTTAAGCTCCAAGGGGCTTTAAACATGCTGGCTGTGCGTCCAGCCAGCAGAGTGGCCACCCTAGATGTTAAGTGACCTGGAGGGAAGCTCCAGAACTGGGAAAGCACCAGGTCCAGGGAGGCCTTGAAGTAGCCGGACAAGGCAGGCAGATGGCGTCTCGGCTGGGACCGCGCAGGGCAGAGGGCCTGAGTGGAGTGACCTGGGGACTGGCCTTCTGTGCCCGTCCTGGCAGGGGGGCTCGGGAGGTGGTGCCGGCAGTGTCCTGGGCTCCTCACGCGCGGGGTGCACTGCAGTGTCCGGATGCCAGACGCCATCTGCCCGGGGTAGCTGAAGGTGGTTTGGGGTGTCTGCCTTCCTGTGCTCACACCCCACCCTCCAGGAGGTCTGCACCCCTGCCTGGGCTGTTGGGTGTTCCAGGAGCCCCCATAGCAGCAGTCTGCTGTGTCCCCACCTGCTCTGCCCACTGGAGACACCAAGAGGTAGATGGCCAGTGTGGCTCCGGAGTCCCAGGCGCCCCTCTGGCTTCCCTCTCCACCAGCCCCCTCTGTTCCCCATGTTGGAGGGAAGCCCCATCTCCCAGACACGAGGTCTGGGGGACCTGCTCACCCCCTAGGAAAGAGACGCTGACATTCCCAGGGACATCGGCTTTCTTCCCCACCAAGTTGCACTCTTCTTGATAACTTATTAAATATTTGGGGGACTTTTGGCTTGTTTGTTTTCATTTTTGAGACAGTCTCCCTATGTAGCCCAGGCTAACTTAGAACTTGAGGCAATCCTCCTGCCTCAGCCTCCTGAGTGTGGGGATTTCAGGCTTGTGCCACCATACCCAATTCACTGTTTTTAAGATTTAAGAAACTGCCATTCTAAAGGGAGAACACCCCTACTTAGGGAGAACCCATGTAGTGTCTTTGTCCTCCTGGTGTGGGGCCTCCCTCTCTAGTCTTGGGTTGCTGTCCAGCCAGGCAGCTCCACACAGGCCCAAGGGGCTCAGCAGGCCGGAGAGGGTCAAGGCAGTGTCCTAGGACCTGTGGGATCCCATGCTGGGAGTGTGGGGAGCAGGACACCCCCTCTGCATAATGACCAGGGCCTCCTAGAGCGTCCATCAGCCCTGCCCCCCAAAGACAAGTGCAAGACAGGAGGTAGCAGTTCTGCTGACATAAAGCAGGACGGACGGAAGGAAGATGCAACCGCGCACAAGCAGCATGAGCCTGCAAGGAGCTGAATCCATCCCAGGCTGCCGAGGGGCCGGCCGGAAAGTCGGCTACTGGACCGGGGCTTCCTATGCGCTGATCCTCAGGAAAGCGATCGACAGGACCCTACTTGCAATGGCAGGAATCATCCAAAATGACCCAGGCCATGTGGAGAAAACGACAGCCTCTCTAAAGACCAGAGAAGGTGTGCCACGTGAGGAGATGCGTGTGTCAGACGGAAAGGCCGCTTTCTGCAAACACAGCCGCACTCTCGCTGCTGCGCGCGGGCCTGCACCGAGGCGCGCGCGCAAGGTTCCCTGGGAAATGGGCGGGGCGCCGCGCGCGTCCGCTTTCCTTCCGAGACGGAACAGCGCGGCAGGCTGGCTGCAGAGACGGGGCGTTCGCTTGGGCTGGTGGTTCTGAGGCGCAGGCTCAGGGGACTGCGTCTCGTGACACTTGTCTTAATGGCAGAGACTGGGGTGCCACCGGGCGTCACGGGGCAGGAGGCCTGTGTGCACATGTGCGGGCGCCTGCACGCGAGAGCGAGTGTGCGCTGGGCCGGCACTGTTGTAGGCACCGCAGACAGCAGGCCCGGGGTGTGTGCGCGTGCTCCGAGCACTCAGGAGGCTGAGGCAGGAGGAGTGCTTGAGCCCGGGAGTGTCATTCAGTAATGTGACAGAATCGGTGCCGCTGCCCCTGGAAGTGATCGGGTCAGCCTGTGCCGGGGGCAGGCAAGGGACAGCCCTACGGGGCTCAGACCCATGTGTGGGAAGTAGCTGTGACAGCTGAGCACTCGTGGTGCCCGGAGCCCGGACCTGGCAGGGGACCTTCCACGGACATGCCCTCACCAGGTGAACAACGAAGAGGTCCTGGAGTATGGGCTGAGCTGAGGGTGCCCTGGTGGGAGCAGAGAACGCACAGAGAATGGCAGCGGGGACAAAGCCACACGACAGTCTACAGGCCGAGGCTTCAGGGCTGCTGGGCCCCATGCAGGTGCGCGAGCCGGAGCAGCAGCCGGGCCTACTGAGGCGCACGGGGTCCACGCCAGCGCCTGGCCTCAGTGCCACGTTGCTCTCTCCACACGAGTGTCCTCGTGAGTCCGCATCGGCATCCGCAGAGCTCACTGTCCTGTGCGGAGGGGGCACACCCAGTGACACAAGCTTGGCCGCTCTCAGCCCTCCCCACTCCCTCCCTTGGTCCCCCCAAGAAGGAGCGTCTCCCTCCCTCTCATCCGCCCTCAACTCTGCTCTTTAGTTACAGTACCCATCCGATGTCTAGGCCAGCACCGCTCGCAGGAGCTGAGGTGCCTGGGCCAGGATCGCGTGGTCTGATGCACTGTGAACTGCTCTGCCACAAGGACAAACCTGGGTCCTTGTACGAAAACGCACACAGCTTGAGACCACAGTGCTCAGCAACATGAGCCCGGCACACGGGCTTGGAGAGCGCACAGGTTCTCTCAGATATTGTATAGCTTTTTGGTTATATTTGCCTACTGGGTGTTTGAGACCAAGTCAAAGTAAGGCCATGTCAATCAGAATTAGTCTCTGTCCCTGTCTCTTTCTGTTTCTCCCTCACCCTCCCTTTGTTAAGGTCACTTAAGGCACTTCTGAGCCATGTGCAGGGTCACAGTCTGCTTGAATGTGGCCTTGCACGGACACACACCTCTTCCGTGACCCTGGGTGAGCGTAGAGCCCACGGACTGCTGTGCCCCGGAGCCCAACAGTCTCCCTGCTCAGGAGGTTGCGTGACTCCTCAGAGGCTCAGGTCCTTGAGGGGCGCTCCTTCCTGTCCTGGGTCGTGGCTAGCCACGGAGGGCTGGGGCCATAATCTTGGCTGTCCCCAGCCCAGTCACCTTTTGCACTCTGCTCTCTAAGACTTGGTTGTTGAACACCCAGCTTGGCTGCATCAGTCTTGGGGTGGGGGCCGCAGGCTTTAATCTCAGCTATTATGATCGTTTTCAAATACTGGATGCTTTGAAAGCAGGAAGCACCTGCTGGGTGTGGTGGTGCTTGCCTGTAATGCCAACGCTCAGGAGGCTAAGGCAAGAGGATTGAGCACCCTGAGTTCAAGGCCAGCCTGGGCCACTTGTGAGCTCAAGGACAGCCTCAGTGGTAAAACCCTGTCTCAAAAAGAACAAAAAAAGGGCCAGCGAGATAGCTCTGTGGACTAAGTGCCTGCTTCAGCAAGCACGCACGCCGCCTTTCCAGCCCCGCCCCAGGGTGCACTGAGCCGGCGACAGAGTGCCTGTAATCCCAGCCCTGGGGAGGCTGAGAACAGGAGGATCACTAGCGTCTGAGCTGCGTAGTGAGGCCCTGTGCCTAATACATAAATTTTTAAAAAGACCAAAAAAAGGGAAAGAAAATAGGAAGTGTGACTTGGAACAGCAGCCACCTCCATTAGTGTCAGGAACTGGTGTCATATTTTATTTGTATCTTGGGTAATAGCTTATGATCTTATACCTCTTCAGTTGTCTGTTAGAAGTCGAATTTTTGTAAAATGTTACCAGATAACAGTTACAAAGTTTTACAAGGAAAATTTAAAATTTAGAGCAAAACACAGCATTTAGCACAATAAGGATGAAATTATTATACTAAAACCATTCAGCTTTATAAAAATACATTTACATTTCATTTTAGTATAAAAGTTTATCTTTCTCTATTTATAAAATATTGTATGATGCAAATAAATTCGTATCTGCATTTGCTACTTTTGCCTTTCACACAAGTAAGCACATCCACACGTTCCAAATCTCTCTTCTACAAATCAGAATCAGTCATTAGAAAGCAAGTAGGCGGGGCCGCCCCTTAGCTCAGTCCTTTAAGTGGCTGCTTCAACAACGCAGTCAGGCTCAGGTTGCTGGGGTTCGTTCCCCACAACCCAAGCCAGCCAACCCTGCCCTGAAGGCATTCGGTGCAAACAAAAAGCAAGTAGGACTAGCAAAGGAGTCCAAAAGCCTAGGAACACTTTAAGATGGGTTCCTGATTTTGGTCCTTCCAACAGGACCAAATGCCGGGTCTGGTGCCTGTGACCAGAACCTCCAGGAGGTTGCCATACCAACGCTCACATCATCAAAGGAGCCTGGGGACATCACCAAGGCTGAGACTCAGCACTTCTAGGATGGTACCAGCGTCCTCTGCAGTTGTCCTTGGATTGTGCTTGGCCTTGTGAGCTGAGGTCTCCCTGGTGGAGGTGAGGGGAGGTGGGAGAGGTACAAAAGTCTGGGGGTCTGTGGTGCACTGACCAGTAGGGACTATCCCTGGACTTTGACCTCAGAGGAGGTATAGGACAGGCAATGGCTAGGATACCATTCGCAGGAGGAGGCCACACTGGAGAGGCTGGCCAGAGGGACCCACAAGTCCAGCCACCTGCTGTCCTGGAATTGAAAAGATGGCCAGTTTCAAATTGCACAGAGCACCTGCCCGGCCACGGTCCCCCCAGGATGGGCTGTGGAAAGCAAAGGGACACGAGCTGCCCTGGCAATGACCTGTGCCCACAGTACTGCTGGCCCTGGGGTCAAAAGAAGCAGGTGGACCGACTCTCCAGGGTCAGGTTTACTGCGTGTAGTCACAAGACTCCCAAGCCAGACAGTGTCAGCACAGCTCCAGGCAGGAGCGGTGGGGACTGGACCCAGGTCCTCCACCTCCAGAGCTGGCCCGCTCTGGGTCCACACCACCACGCTCCCTGGGGAGCATGCTGCTGTGACATCTCAGAGACCCTTCTGCGCGGACATGTCACCCAAGGCCACAGGCACACAGACACAGTCCCATAGAGGCCAACGCCTGGGGTCGGACACCAGCCCCTCATACTGCTGGTATAGAGACCCCGGGAGTCCCTCCGCGTGCTCATACCTCGCTTCCCCTCGGCACCGCAGTGCTGCAGGCTAACTCAGCGTGGCTCGAGTCGGCCCCTCTGTCACTCTCGATGGACTGCTGGACGCATTCCACTCGTCACCCCCTGGGTAGTGCCTGCACGTGGCTCACGCCATGCTTTTTGCTCCCTTTTTGCTGTAGGAGAGAATGAAAACTAAAAGAGTATTGTTCCTGGTCTCGCTTACTGTGGCGCTGCTGATGGTTATGCATCCCTTCAGGTAAGCAGGAGCTGTGCACTGGCGGTGGCCTTTGGTGACGGCAGGCCCGCCACCGAGCCTCCCCGGGGACTAGCCACGCTGCGGGGCTGAGCGCGGCAGCGCTGCAGTGATGCCACCTGAGCACCCGGTGCCAGTCCAGGTGCCGGGAGGCGGCGGCACACCTCGCTGGGCTTCTGCTCTGGACAGAGGCAAGTGCAGACTGCGTGGCAGGGACAGTGCAGGTGACGCAGTGAGGGTCGTAAGACGCAGGCAGGCGGGAGAAGTTACAAGTCATCTGAAGGCTCCTTCTCGGTGTCTAACGGGACAGAACTCAGACGACCTGCCAGGGAGCCCGCTGAGGAGTGCCGCACCCAGACGACCTGCCAGGGAGCCCGCTGAGAGCCGCACCCAGACGACCTGCCAGGGAGCCCGCTGAGAGCCGTACCCAGACGACCTGCCAGGGAGCCCGCTGAGGAGTCCCGCACCCACCGTAGCCTGAGACACGGCGGCGCCCCTTGGCTCTTCCACACCCCACCCTGGGCAGGGGAATGCAACGTCTCTGAACATCAGTGGAAAACCAGTTGTTCTCTTTTTCTTTTTCTTTTCCCTTTCTTTTGGTTTTTTCAAGACTGCTACGTACCGTATAGTTCTGGCTGGCCTTGACCTCACGATGCTCCAGTCTCCGTAGCGCTGCGGTCATGACTGCACGCTGCCATGAGAAAAGGCGAGAAGGAGTTGTGTTTTGAGGGACAGTGTCTTCAAAGATTGAACCTCTCGCCAAAAGTGGGGGGCAGGGAGATGGCTCAGTAGCAGGGCTTCCCTGGCAAGCACAAGGGCCTGAATTCAATCCCCGGTTCTGCAAGAAAAAAAAAAGATGGAACCTCTGCACAACACATGTACGTCGCTAATACAATACCCCACTGTCACAAAAAGACAGATCAATTAGACAAAAACTCAACAATGAAATAATAGAACTGAACCACGTTTTTGAACAAATGGGCTTAGTAGACGTCTACGGAGTGCTCCACCCCACATCAGAAAACAGATTTTTCTGAGCTCCACATGGGATGTTCTCCAAAATAGACAACATACTAACCCAGAGCATGTATTTAAGTAAATGCAAAGGGATTGAAATTCTCCATGCGTATTATCAGACCACAGTGATTGGAAATTAATACCTTAAGCAGTCACAAGAACTTCATAAACAGATGAAAATTACATAGCACCTTCCTGAACAATCAATGGATCGTGGATGAAATTAAAGAAGAAATTAGATAGTTTCTATAATTAAATGATAATGAAAATACAACATACTGGAACCAACTGGACATGGTGAAATCAGTCCTAAGAGGAAAATTAGTCGCAGTGAATATGCATATCAGGAAAATACAGCAGCACAAATGAACCACTTAGCGTCGGACCTCATGTGGCTGGAAAGAGAGGAGCAGGCTAAGCCAAAAGCTTGCACAAGAGAAGAAATTATCAATATCAGAACAGAAAGCAATGCAGTGGAGACTAAAAAGAGAGAGAGAGACAAAGAAGCCATGAATCAGTGGCTTGGTTCTTTGAAAAATTAAATAAAATCAACAACAAAGCCTTTAGCCAATCTTATATTTAAAAAAAAAAAAAAGGAAAGACTCGAATCCATGCAGTTACAAAGACAGAGCAGACATTAGCACCTTGGAGACTAATACAAAGACCCAATGAATGGAAGAGTTGGTTCTCTGAAAGATTACCTGAAATCAGCAAATCTTTAGCCAGTCTGATCAAAAAAAGGGAAGAAAGACTCAAATCCACACAATTAGGAATGAAAGGGGTGAAATCACAGTGGACCCTGCAGAAATCCAGAGGACCACCTACACCTATGTGGAGCAGCTGTACCCCAATAAGGTGGAAAATGCAGAATAGGTGGACAGATTCCTAGATACGTGTGAATTAGTAAAGCTGAATCAAGAAGATATAATATCATAAATAAACCAGTATCAATCAATGAAATCAAAGACGTAATTAAAACCTACCGGGTGGGGGGGGGGAGCGCCCAGGTCCTGGTGGATTCACTGCTGAATTCTACAAGAAATTTAAAGAAGACCTACTACTACGACTTCTCAGACTCTTTAATGAAACTGAGAGGGAAGCAGTACTCCCAAATTCATTCCTGGGAGCAAGCATTCCTCTGATACAGAAACCAGAGAAGGACCCAACCAAGAAAAAGAACTACAGGACAACGAGCAGAGATGCCAAAATCGTCACTAAGGTGCTGGCAGGCTGGACACAGCAAACCATCAAGGATAATCTATGCGCCATGACCGAGCGGGTTCGTGCCAGGAGTGCGGGGACAGTTCAACATGTGACACTCTACGCAGAAAACCCCAAAATTCCACTAGAATTCTGCTAGATTTAATAAGGAAACTCAGTAGCATAGCTAGGTACAAAGTCAGTACTCAAAAGTCAATAGCTTTCTTATACACAAATAACAACTCACTGAGAGAGAAATTAGAAACAACACCTTCCGGGGTAGATCCAAAATAATGAAATACCCAGGAATCAATTTAACAAAGGATGTAGGAGTCCTCTATTATAGTACTCTGAAGGAGACTGAAAGGGAAATCAGAAGATGGAAAGATATTCCTTACTCTTGAGTGGAAAGAACCAATATGGTGAAAATGGCCACATTTCCAAAGCTATTACGCAGATTTAATGCAACTCCAGTCAAAATTCCAACAGCTTATTTTAGAAAAACATTCCTAAAATTCATTTAGAACCAGAAGAGACCTAGAATAGCAAAGGCGATTCTGGGCAACAAAGGCAAGGCGTGGGTATCCCAATCCCTGGTTTGAAATTATACCATAAAGATACAGTGATAAAAACAGCATGGTTGGGCTGGTGAGATGGCTCAGTGGTCTAAAGCACCTACTTAGAACAAGCTAAGCCAAGCAAAGCACAGGGACCGCGGTTCAATCCCCCAGCACCACATGCCAGCCAGCCCCGCCCCCTGGTGGGCTGAGCTGGCCACACACACAAATAAATAAATATATAAATAATTAAAAACAAAAAAAAAAACCAGCATGGTACTGGAAAGGAAAAAGAACAGATGCAAAGATCAGTGGCACAGACCAGAAGATGTAGAAACAACTCCCGACGTACTCAGCCACCTTATATTTGACGAAGGGATCAGACACGTATGCTGGAAGAAAGACAGCCTCTTTAATATACGATGCTGGGAGAACTGGCTGTGCTCCTGCTGAAGATTAAATTTGGGCCCGTATCCTTCAGTGTGCACTAAACGATTCAGAATGGATCAAAGATCTAAATATTAAGACAGAAACATTAAATCTGCTGGAAGATAGAGTAAGTAAAACTCTTGAAGACACTGGTGTAGGAAAAGATTTTATACATAAAAACCTAATTGTACAGGGACCATCACAGAGAATCAACAACTGGGATCGCATCTTCACTCGATGTTAGTCAAAAGGCCACGAAGCGATTGGGACCTTGTCACATTGTTTTCCACAGCAAGAGAAACCACCAACAGAGTGAAGCGATAACCCACACGAGGAAAAAAATCTTTGCTGGATGTTCCTCGGATGAAGGGTTACTAGTGAGAACGCATCAAGAACTCGAAAGCATCAGACCTCCCGAATTTAAAGGCCCAACCCAAAAGTGGGCGTCATGGGTGATTACGCACTTGTCCGATGAAGAAATGCGAACAGCAAATAAATATATGAGAAAATATTTGGCTTCACTGGTCCTTCGAGAGATGCCAACTGAAACAACACTGAGATTCCATCTCACCCTGGAAAGAAAGGCTGTTATCAGGAAATCAACCAGCGAAAAGTGCTGAAGGGGCTGCAGGGGCAAGGGAGCCTTGCCCACTGTTGGTGGGAAAGTAGACTGGCGCAGCCCCGAGGAATCAGTGTGGGGCTTCCTCACAAACTAGGACTAGGTCCTGTTTGGCTTGGCCACTCTCCTGCTGGGCATCTCCCCAGAAGAGTTAGAAGCCTCATGCCGCAGCGGATGTGTGCACCCATGCTTAGAGCAGCACGAGATCTTGGAAACAACTCAGACGCCCATCAGCTGAGGAGCGGAGCCAAAATGCACAGCACGTATTGTGGAAGAGAAAGAAACATCCAAAGGAGAGAGAACCTGGTCTGGGGGAAATGGACAAAAGAAGGAAGGGAAGAGCAAGAGGAAAAAAAATATATGACACGAGGGGCTGGTGAGATGGCTCAGTGGTCTAAAGCACCTACTTAGAACAAGCTTAGCAAAGCACAGGGACCGCGGTTCAATCCCCCAGCCCCACATGCCAGCCAGTCCCGCCCCCTGGTGGGCTGAGCTGGCCACACACACACACACACACACACAAATAAATAAAATTTAAAATATATATATATATATATATGACACGCATTTAAACACAAGATAGTTAAAATACTGAAGATAACAATGATAGCAAAGATAAAGATAGTAATAACGAAAGACAGCTATGCTACTAACTTCTCGCAGCGTGTCCAAAGGATGGGTCTAGGCTGGATAATTACACCGCTGACACCTCACACTCCTAATCACTGACTTAAACAGAACAACACCCAATGCATTAGCCGCTGTTACTCTCCTATTATTTCGTTTTTTATTTCCGGTTTCTTTTTCTTTGAAAAAAAAATTTTTTTAAACAAAGGGAACCACCTCACCTAAGACATGGGCGAGCGAGCCAGGCGTGGTGGCGCACAGGTGCAGCCCCAGCACTCAGAAGGCCGGGCAGCTCGCAAGACCTGAGTTCAGAGCCAGCCTGGGCTACAAAGCCCGGCGCTGCCTCAAAACAAAACCAAGCCAAGCCAAATGACATGAAACAAAAACAAAATAAAACATGGGGCAAATAAGCCAAGCAGTACCGCACCAGAAAATATGCCCAGATAGTAAGTACGGGGTAAGATGCCCCTGCATTTGTCACTGTTCAGAGGCTGCAGTCCACAGCACACCCACCGGGACGGCTAAAACCGAACCTCTAAAGCCTGAATACAGGTTGCTGGTGAAGGGTTGGAGATGTAGCTCAGCGGCACCAGCAGCTGCCCAGCAAGCACAAGGTCCTGAGTTCCACTCTGGGTGCAAAACAAAAATGTTGCGGGTGAGCTGTCCCTCACTGTCCCCGTGGCGAGCAGTGACAGCGGGGACTTCGTCCTCTACCCGCAGCTGCGCCTCACCTGGGGCACACAGCATCTGCTGGCAATGGTTTGAAATGAAGACATAAGCGAACTTAATTCTAGAAATGTAGATACCTCCATTTGCAATAGGCCTTAGTTCAAATTCCAAGGTGAGCACTTTGTTTTCCTGTTTAAGGAACGAGGAATCAGTGCTAGCAGCATGTGTGGGCCTGGAAATAGAGGCAGGGTGCACAGTCGCGCGGTCCCAGAGTCACGCGGCCCCAGAGCCAAGCGCCACGCAGACCCCTGGCCCTGACCGGCCCCGTGTGTTGCAAGTAGGCTGGGCCCGGCGGCCTCGCTCTGGAGTGTTCAGAGCAGTCCCCGGTGGGCCCAGTGAGCTCAGGCAGCCGGCAGCCGAGAGGCACCGCACGCATTTCAAGCTTGCAGAATCGCCAACCTACGAGGGTCTGCCAGTCACCAGCCCAGCTGGGTCCAGAGCGTAGTATTCAAAGGAGAGTCAGAGTGGACACCTGGATCCCTCCCCTCAGCTGTTCTTAGTCAGCTTGTAACAGCTGATAAATGTTAAATAAATGAATCAAATTTGTATTTGAACGCATATCTTATTTGATCTGTTCATTTTAATTTATTTATTTTTTTTCTTCTTTTCAGTTCTAAGGGTTGAACTCAGAGCCTTCACTCTGGGCTAAATAACTAGCCCACTTTAAGAAAGAATTTTGAGATAGGTGGGTTTAAACAGGCAGTCCTCCCGCCTCAGGGTGCTGCTGGTGGGCTCTCTGGAAGTCGTCTCCCGGCGAGCATGCAGCTCCCGCTACCTTCCCTAACGACCCCCCTCTGCACCTCCTCCTGGACCGCTCGGCCCCTGAAGACGGAGCCACACGCCTCCTCTCCGTCCTCTTCCGGGGTCTCTCCACCCAGCCTGGTCCACCGGGCTTCAGAGGCCGGGAGCTGGGTGGGCTGTGCGTGGGTAGGGCTCACTCAGGAGTAACTGGGTGTCCCTTTGTCCCCAGGAGTGGCCAAGTGACAGAGCTGCAGCTGTCAGACTGGTTTAAGCCAAGGTAAGGACACTGCGCCCCGTCGCACGCAGTGCACCTCCCTTCTGGTCCCAAGCTGGAGTGCGTGGTCTCCTCAGGTGAATCCACTTCTCAAAGATGTATTTTTTAGCAGAACTCGGGGCCCATGTGGCTCATGACAGCCCCTCCGGGTCCTTCCTACAAAGCCTGCCCATGTTACTCACCACTTTGCTGGTTGATTTCTAATGCAGAGAAAGCCATGGCCCCCGCCGCCTCCAGCCTCCCAGCCTCCCATCCTCCTGGGAGCCCATCACGGAGTCCTGGCTGACCCTCCTCTCATTTTCATATTACATCATTTATACATTGTTTGCAGTTAGGGGTGAAACCCTGGCCCTTTCTGTCTATTTTGCTACCTCTGCTCCGTGGAGTTCACGAGCCCAGAAAAGACAGAAAACAAACACCCGAAGACAGCAGGAAGGCCAGGAGCAAGCACCCCACCACCCTCCCTTGGGCGGTTGGACCTTGTGCCTGACAGCGTCTCTTCAAATCACTAAGTGGCCCCGCCTGGTCTTGAACTTGCAACCCTCCTGCCTCAGCCTTGCAGAGTGCTGGGATGACAGGTGTGCAGCATCAAACTTGGCGTGTTTAAGTAGAATTTAATTTCATCTACCCATGTTCTGCAAAGGACCGTCTTTAAATTTTTAGAGGCTTATGAGTCTAGGAGGAGGATGCCACGCGGGAATCATCTGGGACTTCCAGCTCCCGTGACACTGTGGCACTTGGATCCACCTGGTCATTGGCATCCCTGTACCATTTGTCAGAGTGACCCAACATGGAGACCCGGAAGCCCTTGCCCACTGCCCATGGGCTCGGGGACTGTGTGTCACGAGGCGAGGCCACAGCCTCTTCTCACCTCCCCAACCACTGGGTGAAATCGGGACCTCTGGGCAGACGGGTCCACTTGTGATTTATGACCCATTTCTCACATTTCGAGATGAGGGAGCTGGTGTGGTCAGGCTCTGCCAAGGGCTCCCTCTGCAGCAACCCTCAGGCCTCACCCTGTCTGTCCTCGATGATCCCTCACCGGGGAGAATCCACCCTGCAATTTGGTCAACACCCACATGACTCTCGGGCAGCAGGAGAGAGGGGCACGCAGGCCCTGGGCCCAGCACTGGGCTACTCCCTGGGCAGAGAGCCCTGCTACAAGTAACCAAAGATGCCCTGCCCTCCTGTGCGGCCAGCCTGATAGGCGTAAAACGGCCTCCGTGGTGGACAGAGATGGAGTCGGGACTTCTCCCAAAGGCTTTCGCTCCCTACCCACAAGGAAAGCAGTAGAGAAAGAAGTGTTTAGAGCGACAGAAATCACCTAACACTTGTGTCCCATGGGGGCAAAGCTGATGGGGAGGACGGGAGGCTTGGGGCTCTGAATGGGCCCCCGTCCAGCTGATGGTCTGCACCAGAAGTAAGAACCAGCACCAGTAAGAGCCCCGGCGGGCGCAGAAGAGTCCGCCCAGAGAGCTCCACCATGACCTGTCCGGGGACCCCGAGGTGAGTCTGTCCGTACCAAGCTGAGCAGGACAAGTGCAGGCTGCTCTCGCACTTCCCCAGCACCAGAGGCGACGCAGATCAAGCAGGGAGCTTCCAGCGGACAGTGGGGAAGTGGGGAGAGAGAGCCCCGGGGACCCACAGAGCAGCGTGGAGAGAAGCTCAGAGGAGGCTGTGAGGCTGCTCCCTCACCCCTGGCCCAGAGGCTCTGCCAGAGGGAGTGATGGGCGGGCAGAGCCGCGGCCACCTACCTGCCTGGCTGGCTGGCCCAGCCCCTCTCAGCACACACAGAGCCCATGACCTGGAGCCTCGTCCGCGGCGTGCAAAGCGCAGAGCACAGCAGACCCCCCAGAAGCCACGGGTCATGGGACACAGACTTCATACAATTAGTCCAGAGCGGCCATGAAATAAACACAGTGACAAGAGTGACAGGCACAAAACAGCTACACCATGCCCTTGGGAGGGAGGGAGGGCACGAGGCCCTGCCCTGTGATGTGGTCTAAAGTGCCCATTTCAACAGCAGCAACATGCCAGGGAACAGACTGGCCTTGCTTGGGGGCAGGGTCCCGGGGAGTGTCCCCAGCGGAGCCTACTAGACCAAGAGTCCAATCTGCTACTTGAAAAACGTGCAAAGAACTAAGAGACGCAGGGACCGGTGCCCTCCCAGACAGAGCACCAGCACGGGCACAGGCGTCACAAAACAGCCCAGGTAGCAAACCTGCTGTGCTGGCTGGAGCGCCTCGGCCACAGGGCAAAGCAGGCAGCAAAAGACCCAGAGTCAAAGGAGCCCATCAAATGCCACAAGGGGTAAACGGAGGAGACCCGTGCCCAGCCCTCGTCCCCAGACTAGCAAGAGCCAAGACAAAGAGCCTTCGAGCAGAAGCAAGAAAGGGAGCGACGCTCACTGCGGCCTGAGCTAGATCAACAGCCAGGGTTCCCTCAGGCAGCACCTAAGAGCTGGAAGTGAGACGGGATCTTCCACAGGCTGCAAGGCCTGTTGACGCCGCCAGCCCAGTCCTGTCCAGAGAGAGAAGAGGACATGCAGATATTCCTAGAAAATCAACTCCAAGAGAAATCCTCCCCGGCAGACCTGCCCTGTGGGAAACACGACAGCCTGTGCAGGCTAAGAGCAAGGCTGCCGAAGAGGAGCCAGACCCACGGGGGACAGAGCGAGGGGAAAGGCGCCCGCGGGGGAGGTCAGGGGTGCGCTCCTGCTTCAGCGGTCTTCTGCTGTCTGATTGAGAGGTAGGGACAGCACTGTGACAAGGACAGCACGGAGGCAGGAGGGTGTGGAGCGGTAGATGTGTCGTGCCTGCTGCCGAGCGCTCCCGTGTTGGCCAGCTAGATCACTACGGACGAAGGCTTTACGTTTAATTCCCAAGGCAACCGCTAAGAAAATCTGTGAGCAGTGCCTAGCAAGAAATGAGGGAGGGGGACAGAGAATCCACAACACAGAAGGACATCGACAAGATGGCCATTGATTGTACGTGGAGAAAACACTGCAAACAAAAATCAGAGACCGTCTGAGTGGGTGAAACCGTGACACAGCCAGGCACTGCCCACAAGAACGTGTCGAGACTCCCAGACATCCATAGGTTTAAGTAAAGGAGGGAGTGCATGCCACACAGATTAGCCAAAAGAAAGCCCCAGCAGCTGTATTAAGGTCAGACAAAACAGACCAAGACAAGTAGTAACACAATAATCATGAACATCTGCTGGGCATGGTGGTACATGCCTATAATCTCACGATTTGGGAGGCTGAGGCAGGAGGATCGTTGCGAATTTGAAACCATCCTGGGCTACAAAGTGAGCTCAAGGCCAGCCTGAGCTGCACAGGGAGGCCCTGTCATAAAAAGATAAAAAAATGATAACGATTATGAACATTCACACCCAGCCACAGAGCCCTCAGCTAAACTAAGCAAACACGGATCAAATTGACCTGGAAAAGTCTGGCAAGAATAGTTCGTAATTACAATATTCTCAGTTCAATAATGGACAGAATAACTAGACAGAAGACCCACCCAGGGGTGCCAGGGATGGTGTCCCACACCTGTGACCCCAGCATGCAGGAGGCTGAGGCAGGAGGATCACCGCACAAATTAAAGACCAGTGTGGGCTACATCGTGAATTCAAGGTGAGCCTGAACTTCACACTGATACTCTGCAGGAGGATGAGGAGGAAAAGAGGAAGAGGTGGAAGAGGCGGAGGAGGAGAGGAGGAAGAGCGCAGAGGGAACAGAAGGCCACACCGCAGTGCGCTGGGACGCACGCCCTTCTCAGGGACACAGGGAATGTATCCAGCATGTGACAACAGCTTCAGGGTATAGTAAATCTCAGTGCACACAAAAGGCTCTAAACCATGCCGTGTGTCCTCAGTCGAAGAGGGAATACAATTAGAAATCAGTGACAGGAAGAAGTCTGGGGAGTTCACCGCTATGCAGAAATCAAGGAGTTCATCCCTCATTGGCCAGTGGTCGAAGAAGAGAGAGACCACCGAGGAACCAGAAAGCTCTGTGTGATGACTCAGAATAAGCACCCCAACCAGGAGGGGTGGGGGCAGCGGACGGGCACTCACTGCGAGTCTGGTCCCCGGAGACTTCGGCCCCCAGAGGAAACAGGAGGGGAACATGGTAAAGGTGGGCGAGCAGAAGGCAAAGTGAGCCTCGGAGTGAGGTGGGAGGGCAGCAGGGCCCCGCAGCAAAGCCAGGCGGGCCTTTGAAGAGACCAGCGAATGAGAAAAGGGTGAGAATCGGGGCGAACGGATGAGGACACCCGCCAACCTGCAGAAACCGTCACACTTCTAAATGAATGCGACAAGCAATGGCACGTCCACGCCTAGAGGCCAGTGCCTAGAAAGACACCAACTCCCAGAACGCTTGGACCCAAGAAGAAAGAGAAGGGCCGGCCAAATAGCTCAGCGGATGAAAGTGCCTGCAAGCAGGCGCAGGGGCCAGCGGTTCGATCCCCAGGCCTGCCATGCCAGCCCTGCCCCCGGTCACTCAGACTGGGCGAATGAGACGCGGCGTGGTGGCGCGCCTGTAATCCCAGCTCTTGGGCGGCTGGAAGCAGGAGAATCACTAAGACCGATCTAGTAGTGAGACCCTGTAGACCCTGTGCACCTGGTCCTAAATTAAAAAAAAAAAGAAGAAGAAGAAGAAGAAGAAGAAGAAGAAGAAGAAGAAGAAGAAGAAGAAGAAAGAGAAAATATGAACAGATCTAAAATGGATAAATAGATTCAGTAGTAACCATTTAAACACCCCCTGAACTGTTCTCCTGGACCAGGGCCCGGTGACTTCATGGAGGAATTATATCACATATTCAAGGAAGAATTAATACAAAGTTCACAAAGTTCCCCAAATTAAAAAGCTGGCCAGGAGTGGTGGCGCCACCTGCAAGTTCTGGCGCTCTGGAGGCTGAAGCAATAGGATCAATGTGAGTCTGAGGCAGCCTGAACTCCATAGCAAACCCTGTCTCAAACATAGAAAAATAAAAAGCAGGGGCTGGAGAGATGGCTCAGTGGTCTAAAGCACCTACTTGAAACAAGCTTGGCAAAGCACAGGGACTGCGGTTCGATCCCC